TCGACGCAACCGGCACCCGCCGTGACCGTTACAAGAGACTACCGAGCCCGCAGCCGCTCCGCTCCCGCGTCGCGATTCAACCAGCCACCGTCGCTGAGCAGCTCTCGCGAGAACGCTCCACCTTCCCTGCTCGCATTGGCCGGTGGGAGATGTAGTTCCTGATACGGCCCGCCCGGAAATGTGACGAGGGTGATCTCCGTTCCTATCATCCCCTCGGGAGCGTGGGGATTTGCATCGCAGGGTGGGATCAAGTTAGGGAAGACTATTCTGCTGCATCTGAATAAACAGAAAGGGGGCTCTTGGAGGCCTCATGAAGAAGAAGAAAGCTCGCTTGCATCTTTTTAATAAGGGAATTCTAGCATCTAATCATCCTGCAGTAACTTCCTCTTCTGTGCAATCTTGAAAAGGTTCAGGAATCCAGTTCTCTTTAATAGCTGCCAATACCTGGCATCACAGCATCCCTGTCCAGCTGGACAAATAATTTTGCTGGCTAAGGGACAACAGTGAATAAAGGGACCCTCTTCTTTCTACTCCAACCAGCGATGCTACCTGGAAATATAAGAGTTCCAGTCCAACCTATTTTGAAGGCATCAGTTTGGGGAAGGCTGATTGGGAGACTGGATTCATGTACCGTGCTAACTCAAAACCAAACACTAAATTATGGCTTAATATGCGGCATAAGCCAAATTTAGACTCTGGAGGACTTGGTAATGGACCTGAAGCTTTAGAGATGTGGTAACTTATTGTTTATTAACTCAGGTTCTGATCTATTTAACCCAACATTAACACAATCCCTATCAAAGTCAACAGCAGTCATTCTGTTTAAGTCAGCAGTGTGCAACCTGAGGTGTGACAAGAGGACTCTAGGCAAACATTCTCTGCTGGAGCTCGCCTTTGGAATGCCTTCCCACCAAATATAAAATCCACACCCTTTTAATATTTAGGAAACTTTAAAACATGGTTGTTCCAAAATGTGTATTGGGATTGATGCAGGAGCGAGCAAAGTGGCTAAGTAATTAGTGAATTTTCTTGCTGAGTGAAGATACTCAGTGCTATGCTTTTATGCTCATAAGGTTATTATTGGATTTCTATTGTTTGATTATGATTTATTTATATATTGTTGCTTTTGAACTAAACCTAGTAAAATGCTTTTGACCTAAAACCTAGTTAGTTAACTGCTTACTAGATAGAAATATTGAAAAAACACTAGGAAAAAAATCACTGAGTAATAACTAGAGAATTTCATGACAGTTGTAGATAGTCAGGATTCAATGAATCATTCAAGGTCAATAATTGGTCATGGAAGTGGCTTTTAGAGGGCATTAAAGGCCACTAGAGAGCCAGTTTGGTGTAGTGGTTAAGGCACCAGGCTAGAAAACAGGGGACTGTAAGTTCTAGTCCCACCTTAGGCATGAAGCTGGGTGACCTTGGGCCAGTCCCTCTCTCTCAGCCTTAGGAATCAGGCAATGGCAAACCACTTCCAAAATCTTGCCAAGAAAACTCCAGAGACTTGTTTAGCCAGTCACCAGAAGTCAACATTGACTTGAAGACACACACATGCACACGCACGCACATAGAACACCACTAGGATTCTAAAGATGGAAGAACAGTAATGATGCTAAGAAGAAGATCTGGTGAAGTTAAGAAACTCGATATTACTAAAAGCAGTAAAAACAAATTAATTAGAATGTTGTTTCTCTTGGAAAAGCTGTTCTGTCAATATACAGTATTAGAATAGTCATTTCAATGGTGAGCCTGCACAAAACTTAGCACTTTCCATTATCTTCATAAGTGTACCTCCTAGTTTTCATTTCTGTTAAATTTTTGATTTACCATTTCACCCTTTCTCACTACAAAATGAGAATAATACTCCATGCATCTGATGAACAAAAGTTTATGCTATAATATTTCATTCTTTGTGATGCCACAAAGGTTTTTGCAGTTTTTGCTGCAAAAAAAAAAGTAGCTCTCTGTGTGGAAAGTTTTTAAAGACTGCAGGTTTTGGCACATCATATACATAACATGGAAGGAAACATACAGAACACATTGGGATTCCCTTCTGAAAGAAGAAAAGCTCATTATATCTTCAAAGCTCTTTTGCTACTAATTTGATGTAGTTCCACCCTTAGCAATAGTCATTGATCTCAGGTACCAAATTCAGAAGGCCTGGGAACATTAGGAGTATGTTTATGAAAATTATTCTATTTCTCTCTGGTGTTTGTTTTCTGATTTGAAGAAAGTTTTTGGCTTGAAGTAAGATTTAGCTTCCAGCCTGGTGAGATTCTGAATATGCACAGAGGTACACACCTTAACTTATAAAACAATAATTTTGCTGTAGCCCCCTGATCTTCTGTGCGTGTTTATTCAGTTCTTCTATATTAGTGAGTTTATTATCTAAAAGTTCATATGATTCCAAGTTTTCATCTGGGTCTTTTACACAATTCCATCACAATCCTAACTATGCTTTCAACATATCTTTACTTTGATGGAAGGTATACTTGACAGATCTTTTCTGTTTGATTTCAAATGCATATTTTCAAACTTGATTTCAAAGGGAAACATTTTTATGAGAAAACATTTAGATTAAAATCTTGTACAGTACTACATATTCAGGACAATCGATTCATAATTGTAATTAGAGTTAAAACTCAAGTCAGTCTGACAGACTAGTTTCCAGCCAGCAGCGGAATTATCATAGCCCAGCACATCTGGACAGCATCTGATTGGAGAAGAGAGACATCCATGTCACCTCCCAGTGATGTTGTGATATTTATAAAAGAAATTTGAAAGGTATTTTTGCCCTTTATTTAGAAAGGAATTTGACAGGTATTTTAAATTTTAGAACTTCAGAAGCCCACAAAAATGAAGCTTAGATACTGTTTCTAACTGAGGTAGCAATATGAGAGGTCGAACCATGTCGGCAGCAGCATTGCCTTTTGGTTAAAAAAAAAAAATGTTTATTTTGCATAAATTTGTTTTTTCGGGAGTGAGATGGACTTCGGCTGGGGAGAATCCCAACAGGCCAGCCAACTGGTCCTCAGGGAACCACTGCCAAGGCTTACAGATGCTGAGGCGGCTAATAAAAGGTTGCCGTGACAACGAGAAAAACGAACGCCGCTGTCCCGGCAACCGAGTTCCATGCAGTCAGGGGAAATTGAGCATGTGTGGAAGCAAAGAACGCGAGAGCCCGTTGCATTGTGGGAAACGTAGTTTCTTTTCCTTCGTTTTGCTTCTACAATTCATAGGCCGTTCGTCGGCAAAGTTCCCGCGCTTTCCTAGGTGAGGCTTGTTGAGGCATATTTATGGACTAAATGAGAAAAAGAAACAACAATTCGGACACCGCCTCCAAGGGAAAAACAGAGAAAGAGCAGATGGAAATAATAACTAACAGGCTTCTGAACTATAGCTTCTGAACTAAAAGACATAATAAAGCCCTGCCCTAAGATTGTGGGAAGGCTGCGTGCCATGATGGCGCCTGGGACGAGTAGTTCCAAGCTCCCTCCTGCCCCGCCCCCCGGCTGAAGGAAAGCCGCGCTCTCCAAGCCTTTGCTCGCGGTGCCCAGTGGGAAAGATAGTTCCGGCGTCGCCGTGTCGCCGCAGTGCTTTGTGGGGCGGGTAGTTCCGTTTCCTGTGGCGCTCTTGGGGAGGGCAGGCTGCTGTGGCGTTGGCGCTGGAGAAGGAGCTGCAGCCGCCGCCTTCTTGGACTCGGAATCGGGAGGCCTTGTGGGATCTGTAGTCCCGCTGCCTCGGGCCCGCCGGGGGAAGGAGGAGGCGGAGGAGGAGGCAGGCACACCGCGCAGACCATGCCCGGGTTCACGTGCTGCGTGCCAGGCTGCTACAACAACTCGCACCGGGACAAGGCGCTCCACTTCTACACGTTCCCGAAGGACGCGGAGCTGCGCCGCCTGTGGCTGAAGAATGTCTCC